ATCATCAAAATGGCTTTAACTGGTACAAAAAGGAATAATGGGAAAGTGTCAAAACTTTGGTGTACAGAAAATGAAAATGTTTCATTAAGACAACCCAAATGATACTTGGTGTTAAAGAAAAATCCAAGTGCAGCAGTTGTATTTCAATGCTATAGACAGCACATGACCTAGGCAACCCAAGGTTACTATGGCATGGCAAAGGCATTTAAACCAATGCACCAATTTTTATAGCCTCACTGCCTGTTCTTAAGAAACCCTCCACACTCGTCTCTCCCATCCTGCATCCTAGTTCTTGAACATACCAAGAGAATAGGGATCATCAAAACATGGCATTTCACCTTTGGAAGGGGCCCAGCTTCTGGGCTGTCACCAGACTTGGTTTCTAATCCTCCTTGACATAGCTGTCTGTAAGTCTATGCAAAGTGGAACACAGCTACTCTAGTATCTTAAGTCGCGTCATTTACTCAAGTGCAGGAGGGCCCCACAGCGCCAGAGTTTAGAAGTTAGCAGCAAAAGGAAAGAAGTGGCTGTCACAAGATGATAAATGGCTGCCCTCAGAAGTTTTGATTTGGATCCTTGGTGACAAAACCGGACCCACTAAGGAAACTTGGTCATTTTCTCTGCTGCAGAGCAGCCACCTGGCGAATATCACATTGCAACCACCAGCCCTTGGCAGAGGTTGGAAAAGCAGCTATAATTATAAAGAGCAGAGAGGAGACTTTAAAAATCTCTTCTGAGTGGCAAAAATTCTGAAAATCAAGATAATTACAACACTAGCTCATCCTGATTTGCTTGGCTATTTATAGATGAGAAGAAGCTGATGCACTGAGAGCTTTTTCTTTTTTTTTTCTTTTCTATTTGCATTAAATCCTGTGTGGCTCCTCTCCGAAATGTGTGCATATGCTGAGTCCATGTGAGATGCCACCACTGGCACTTGTCATAAGAATTAAATCCCTTTCAAGCTTGTTTACAGCTCAGCACTTGTCATACGGCTCCCCTGAGCTTCATGGCTGGTTGGGTTCTTTTTTTCCCCAGCTCTGTGGAAGATTTAATTTCTTTTTTGTTTATGTGTGTGCTTACCCTCGCAGGTGCAGGGAAGAAAAAATTGCTGTGCCCAGATGTTTGGAAGCTGCAGTCGCATACATACAACTACGATTAAATAGAAAAATTGCATAAGATAAGACAGACACTTCCAGTGCATTATGTTATAAGGTATTTAATAAACCTATCATATTTCCTTGACAATAAGACTCCTGAATATAACTTTAGGAACAGAGGAAGGGTTTAAGGCATCGCCAGCTCAATTCATTGAAAGACGACTTTACAACAAAAATTTTCATTTTCGAGTGGGGCTTATTACATTTACCCCATTTTCAACTTAGAAACTACCTTCCCAGAACAGAACAGTCTGGGAATTGGGTAGAAACATCGCCGATCAAACTGTCTCAGTTCATTACTGAATTAGTTAGACCTCAGGGATCTGAGGCCAGATTTCACCTTAGTTTTGGAACACAGCAAACATAAACCAAGTGCAAACAGCCCTCTTGCTGCTCGTTGAGGTCTGTACTAATATGCACAAGGCCTGCCCAAGTTACAGATGGATAATGCTTCTGTGGCCCCTCAGTTTGGATTTTCCTTTCCCCAAGGCGATGGGGGTAACCAGCTTTGCACATAGCAACTATCAAATGGGGGTGAGGAATTCAGCTCAGGAGAAGAGATAATGCTCAAAACTCTCTAGGCTCCACTTTACCAGTCTCCAACAACTGTTTCCCATGACTGCATGGAGGTAGCTCATCACCTTTGGCAACAAGCAGTTTTAAATACTCCCTCATAGCCAAAGCCTAGATCATGATGCCTGTCCTGAAGGCCTACATGATATACCCACCCCTAATGTGTGACATCATCCCCTTGAGAGCCCTGGGAGCATATTGTTGTTTTTACCTTTCCCAGGGGGTGTAAAAGAGTTCCCAGCTGACCTGCTAAGATGGTATAGAAGAAAACCTCCATCTCCCTTTGCTCATGATCCTGAAGACCCTTAGTAGAATTAGGAAAAGAGTGCCGTAGGCCTCTGTTTCTTTGTAGGGAGGAAAGAGTTTGTGCAAAAAAGAGAAAAAGAAAAGCTCTCACATTTTAATTTGAGTGCCAGTTCTAACCCTCAGTTGGCAAAGCCTTTTATCGTCAGTTCCTGGCCCAGTGTTCTGCATCTGCAAGATCAGAGCTTATTAGTATCATTCCTTACTTCTGCCTCCCAACACGGCCACCAGAGACTGTAAAAGGCTTAGACTATACACTGCAAGGCAAATGGCTCTTCCTTAACTACCACAATGCAGGTTTTTGCTTACGCTGAAAGACTTATATTTTCCTAGCCATGCTGATACTATTAAACACTCTCTTTATCTCAATATCTTCGAGAACCTCCACACAGTACATGGAGAACATACTAGAACTCTGTATCTGCTATAATGATCCGTGTGTGGAAGACAGAATAGTAGCTTCAGGAAGCATCTCATAGAGTATGATGCTTCTGCTGATAGGTCATTAATCAGTTCTGGCGACACAACCATCATATAATTTATAGCCTTGTCTGTTTTTCTTTTCTCACTTTAATTCAAAGCATCCCATTAAGTGTCAATTATTCTCAAGGCAAGAAGCCTACAGATTCATCAAGATATAGTGAGACTTCATGAATTAAATCTGTTGTGGTGGTGGTTTTGCTAGTGTAAATAATTGACTACATCTTTAACAGGTCATGATTATAAATATTTTAACACATGAATCTTGTACACTAAAGCTCCAATCAAGCATTGCTGCCCACCACCAGACTACGGGTGATAGGACCACAACTACCCCCGCCAATAAGATGGAAGTTGTTAGGTGTAGCCAGTTCCTCACTCTCGGTAAAGTATGAATCCAGGTGATGACTTCAGCAGCCCCAAAACTATCTGCTTCCTTCTCCCCCACTGCCAAATCTTCACAAACACACGTACATGTACTGCCAGATACAAAAATTGTGTAAAACCTTGAACATTTCTAAAAATCAGGAGACTTGTGTTGAGAAGTAGACAGTGAAGCTACTGTTTTTTAATGTGTTTATCATATTCACTTGAGCCTGAAGCAAAGCCATGAAGAAGGGAATCTCTTGCTGGAAGACTCTGTTAGATTATCAGAATAAAAGAAGTTATTACAGAAAAAGTTTGGAGACAGAGGTTATTCTTAGAAGAATGGAGGGGAAGCAGAAGGGAGACAGAGGTAAAAATGGCCATCATCAAAAAGACCAAAGATAACAAATGCTGGTGAGCATATAGAGAAAAGAGAACCCTTGTGCACTGTTGGTGGGAATGTAAATTGGTGCACCCATTACAGAAAACAGTATGGAGATTCCTGAAAAACTTAAAAACTGAACTACCATATGATCGAGCAATATATACAAAGGAAATGAAAACGTTAACTCAAAAAGTTATTAGCACCCCATGTTTACAGCAGCATTATTTGTAATAACCAAGACACTGAAACAAAGTAAGTATCCATCAATGGATAAATGGATTAGGAACACACACACACACACACACACACACACACACACACACATATTATTCTAATTTTCAGTCAACAAAAAAAAGGAACTCTTACTATTTGCAAGAACGTGGATGGACCTAGAGGACATTATGCTAAGTGAAGTCAGTCAGTCAGAGTATGACAAATACTGTATGATCTCACTTATATGTGGAATCGAAAACAACAACAAAAAACCATCGAACTTAAGAGATCAGATTTGTGGTTACCAGAGGTGGAGGTAGGGGTAGGAATAATTGGGAGAAGGTGGTCAAATGGTACAAACTTCCAGTTATAAAATAACTAAGTACTGGGGAAGTTATGTGCATGATGACTATAGCTAATACTGCTACGTGATATACAGGGAAGTTGTTAAGAGAGTAGATCTTAAAAGTTCTCATCAGAAGGATAATTTTTTTTCTTTTTATTGTATCTATATGACAAACCTATTAATATTATTGTTTCACAATATATGTAAATCAAACCATTATGCTCTCTATATACCTTAAACTTACACGGTGATGTATGTCAATTATTTCTCAGTAAAACTGGGGGGAAAGCAGAGGGACATTCTGTGTGCCTTCCGCCTACTTCAGAGCTGTGTCTAAGAAATGACTGGGCTAGGAGACAGCAGGCGGAAGCCACTCAAGGTCAACCAGAGGCAACCCCTTAGCTCTGAATCCACAGTCAGAGGTGCTAAAGCTTTTAAGTCAATTATTTATTTCCTCTTTTCTGTGTAGTGGTCCCAACCTACCTTTCCAACTCATCTCCTGCCACTCTAATCTTTACCTAAAGCTAATCACCTTTCTTAGACATTTCATGCAATTCTGTGCCTTCATATGTTGGTTCAAGTTGTTTGCTCTCTTTGGAAAGCTCTTTCCAATGGGAGACTCCTGCCCATCTTTTAGAACCGAGCTTACAGATGTCATCTACTGTGACATCTTTCTCTGACACATCAGTCAGTTCCTCCACTGTGCTTCCAGTGTGTGTCTCACATGCTTATTGCCTGGGATTGGGATTGTTTGAGTGCTGCCCTCCATCAAGACTGGACTCCCAGAGAGCAGTGATGGTGTTGGGTCATCTATGTATCCTCAATGGTTAGCCCACAGTAAGCACTCAATGTATGTTTAATGAATGAATGGATGGACGGTGCATTGCAATTTTTAAGGGAAGAAGAGTGTGAGGAATTAGGTGAGAACGTTCTAAACAAGGTGATAATTAAAACTCAGCTACTTTCTTAGTTCATTTTTTACTTCCAAACATTTGACTCGCAACACTTCCATCCTTTCCAAATCAGAGCTGTACCCCAGGCAAGTATCAAGGCTCAGAAAAACCATAGGAAAAGTCTTGGGCTCCTGACAATTTGAAGATGCATTTAAACTTCAGTGAAGTACCAACGTTGCCTTCTCGTGTTATTTATGTGTTTAACAGAGCGCTTACCTCTCACTCTCAAACCCCGGCTGTGGCTTGATCTTACATTTTCTTCATATTGCTTCAACACCTGTTAACCACAACACTGGGGTTGCCGGGCCTGACTTCATCTTGCTTTCTGACTGTTGCTACCCCAGAGAAACCGCAGCACTGCAGCTGCTACAGAGGCAGTCATTCCAGGGACGAGGGCTGGCCTGTGGCCCTGGGGCACTTTAACAGTCACACTGGTTCCTGGTGCAGTAGCTGGCTCCACAGCCGTTTGCTCATCCTTTCCTGATAAAGCCCATCACTTCGATGTAGTCAGCTTCTGTATGTAGATCACTCCCACTGGGCTGCAAGTCCTGTGAGGGAAAGACCATGTCCTACGCATTGTTTCTCTCACACTGACCAGGGCCTGGCATTGGAAAGAAAGAATGAAGAATGAAGAACGAATGAATGAAGAACGAATGAATGAAAATGTCCTCATTAAAATTCTTTGTTGGAACTTGAATTAAATCACTCATCACTCCTATCAGTTATTATGCCACCCCAAAGTGATACTTCTGACATAGCATAATTGGTTGTTTTCTTTTCCTTCACTCTGAAAAGAGGTCATCTTTCTTGATTATCAACAACTTTCCTGTAATACATAAATAGAAAAGAAAAATCTAGACATGGTATAAACCTGATTACAGCTTATTTTCTGAGAGCTATCTTTGTACATCCCTAAATCACATTTAATAATATTTGATTTCCTCAATCTCTCAGGCCAGTTGGACATGGTGTTCCCTGCTTACTCATATGCAGCTAAGTATATCTAATTCCATTAACACTACTGACATAATGGTGTTGCATTTTAAAAATAACTCGTAATTTTTTCATTTGAAGAATGGAAAGGTTCTGGTTTGGTTTTTGTTTATCTGTTTGTTTTTTATTTGTTTTTTGTTTTATCTTAAGGGATACGTGTCTCTCTGAAATCTTTGGGAAATTAGCAATATACTGAACCTTTATCACACCCTTTAGTAATCGTGACGCCAAAGAGATCAGTCTTCCCACTTGAATTATCTGTTTTGACTCACCTGGATTGAATTTTCCATTTCCAGGTCAGAGAGCACTTATGCCCATGGTGAATGAAAGCCTGGGCTCCGAGCTGACTAAAGCTGACTGGTCAAGTTGGCCACAAATTATCAGACTCCTTTCTCCTCATGTCTGTAAAACAGGGATAATAATATTGACTGCACATGCTTCTTGTGAACTTTAAAAGAAAACATGGCATGTGTAACATTGTTAGCCGAGTTTTGTGAAGTAGCACTTCCTCTATTGACGTTAGTACCCTTCCTTTTCTGGCTAGCTAGTCTCCACAAATGTTTTTTTTAATTTTTTTATTATTAGTTTTGGGTGTACAAAACAATGCAATAGTTATACTTTTCATCCCTCACAAAGTGACAACCCCCCTCCCCTAACCCACCCACCCCATATCATACAAATCAATTACAATTCCATAGACTCCACTCCCCACCTTATACTCCACATCCCGTGACTATATATATTAAACTATAGTTGACATACAATATTATTCAATGTCAGCTCAGGTGTACATTACAGTACAGTTCAAGCATCTACACCGTCCATGAAGTGGTCTCCCTAACAAGACATGTGTCCATCTGACTGCCATTTACAATAGCCAAGACTTGGAAACAACAAAAATGCCCATCAGTAAACGACTAGATTAAGAAACTGTGGTATGTTTATATAATGGAGTATTACTCAGCTATAAAGAAGAATGAAATATTACCATTTGCAACGATATGGATGGACCTAGAGAATATTATACTAAGTGAAATAAGTCAGTCGGAGAAAGACAAATACCATATGATCTCACTTATATGTGGAATCTAAAGAACTGAATAAAGGAGCAAAGTAAACAGAAATAGTCTCAGAGATACAGAGACAGCATCAATTAGTAATCACCAGGCTTCTTTTCCCAACAGGGTGCACTGTGGCGCCAGGATACAGACAGAGCTTCCTGTAGCAGAGGGGAACCCGGAGGTGTGTGCTCCCTACAGTGATACAGTTGAGGCAAATGGTGAGAACAATTTTAGAATGTTTTGATATTTTTCACTCCAGCGATTTCCCTTCTACACCTCAGCTTTTGGGATTACTGACCTTCCTACTTCACTCACAATCCTTTTCTCCCAACCCTCCAAATTTCAGGAGCACAGTCTTTGCTTCTCCACCATTGTTACCAATTCAGCTTGATTCCTACCTGGGCTCTCCTCACAGGAAAATGTTCCAGCTTTCCTGGTCCAGACTGCACCTCTCTGGCCTGGGTTCTTCCCATCAGATCTGCCTGAGCAAACACTCCTGTTCTCAGATTTTAAGGCTCCTTTTGACAGGGTATTCTTCCAATTTCTCCACTGGGTCATTTTGTTTAATTCTTCTCTGGACCTTTAGTTATCCTAAAAACACATCTTAGCTTGTGACAGTCACTTTCATTCACCATTTTAATCTTAGACTCTTGTGGAACATATCCCTGTCTTTCACAGATAATAGAAACAACCACAGTCAGAGGCACATTTATAACTAAGGACACTCTGGTCTCTGGAAGTTGTTTCTCATCTTCTTTTACAAAGAAAATCCAGGCCAGACTGCATCCATACGTTTTGTTACGTTTACTACGTCCACCTTCAACTAACTAGTTACCTTTCAATTAACAGTCAGCTTGGGAGAAAGAAGATTTAAAATTTATAATGTTAGTTTTTCTCCCCTTTAAATTTTTTTATTGTCAAAAATGAGAAAAATACAAATAAAAAAAATAAAATATAAGATACTACATCCCATAAGCCAGACCTAACCACTGCCAACTATTTTGTTTTATATATCTTTCATACACACACATATATATATATACACACACACACACACACACACACACACACACATATCTTTATGCTACAAAATCACTAAATTTTTTAAATTTTATTTTAAAAGTAAATTTCCATTTATTTAGCCCTTTAATTTCTTTCAAAAGGTTTTATAATTTTCAGTATATAGGTCTTGTCCTTTTATTAACTTTATTCCTAAGAATTTCATTTTATTTTTTTGCATGCTATTGTGAATGGTAATGTTTTCTTAACTTTATTATTGGATTGTTATATTGATCTTGTACCATATGGCCTCACTTCTTAGTTCTAGTAAGCATTTTGTTTTGTTTTTACTAGATTTCCTAGAGTTCTTGCTGGTTGGAGGGGTAGAATATTCAGGGTTCTCTCTATCCCAGGGTCAGCCATAACAGCTCTAGTCCCATCTTTTTGATATGTTGAGGTTCAGCTTTCAAAAAACCACTTAAATAAAAATCATCCATTTTACCCTCCTTTCATTTTTCAGATGAGGAAATTACCTGATCTCAGAATCACTGAGTAAATTTGATGTGTAGTTTCAAATGAAGTGGAAAATTACAGAGACAAAATAAGGTATGACATGGATATACAAAAGAAATAAGTGCATCAATAAAATTACAGCCAATCTTGTTCCTAATGAAATATTTTCTCTCATTATAAATATTAATTCATGACAGATACAACTATATAGCTTTATGCAAATTTCATAGAAGAAAATATGTAGATTTGTCAGTTTTCTTATCTCAAATTGAAGCTGCATTTCAAAAGGTTAAAAGGCTGCATAATTACACTGTTATTAAATGTCACATGAACTGATATTGGGTAGGTTAGGCCAAGTGGCTCTGTAACTAGAGTGTTAATTATTTGCAAACTGGCATATGGGAGCCCCCCCAAGGATATTATTACTGAAGGTAGTTCCAGCCCTTCTCCTGACTTCACCAATGGTACTGTTAGCAAAGCCAGTGAATCTCTGCCTCGTCTTTCCTGTTTATTCGTAGAGGGTATACTGGTATTTTATCAACATTCTTGCTTTTCACGTATAATTGTTTCTACTTTTGAGTCTATCTCACATAACATTTTAATAATCTTTTTGCATGCATAGCTCACTTAAAGTGTATTAAAGCCAACTTGTTATTAACTCTTTTTGACAGAGAGCTGTATTCTAACAAGCAGAGAAAGAAAGCCACTAAAATTCTCAATTATTAATAGAAGTAGGAATTATACCTAGAGACATTCTGATACAAGATACAGGTATTGAAAGGTCTTTAAAAATGGCATGGGACTCTGACAGCAAAAATGCTCTGAAAATTCCACATAAATTGGCGGAAGCAAGAAAAGAGAATATCATATCTGTATTTTCAAAAAATATTTGGAGAAGTCAATGACTTAGCCTTGATAGCAAAACTAATCAGAGTTGTTACACAATAATTACAAAAATAACTTTTAAATATTGAATTTTTGTCATTTACTTAACTATACTTACATATTGTAGGCATTAAGTATCTTCAGCTGGATAAGAACAGAACAAAATAGCTACTTGTTGTAAAGTATAAAATGAAGATTGCCATTTTTACATCTACCATTTTTTGTTGTTATGATATCAGGAGGATATCAGGGAGCACCTGAAAAGGAGAAATAAATCGACCCATTGCTAAACAATGAGATACTAGAAATTTTAATACAGCATGAGGGTTTTCATTCTGAAACAGCTTTGTTTGGGGATTTGTGTGCCTGACAATAGATGCATACAACTATAACCCTTCATTGTAACTTAAAACAAAAAACTTATACTCTAAGACTCAAAGATATTTTTATAAACATATTGCTCATACAGAGAATCAAAACATATCATAAATTACAAATGTAGCACATGAGGAATATAACTAACATATTTTAAATTGATTGCAAAAAATAATTTCACCAGTCGTTTTAGAACTTGGAAGCATTTGGGTAGCATTTTGTGGCCCAGGGACCATTTAAAATCTATTGAGATCATGTGCACCCATGCCTTCCTTTTTTTCCTGATCAATTTCCCTGCTACAAGAAAATGTATACAAGATGGTTCCCTTGACCCTAAAGCTGCGTTCAAAATTTATTTTATGACAGTCGTGTTTTTCTTATTAATAAGCATTCTTAAAAAGTAGCTACTGTCTTTTTGTACGTGCCTCGGGAGAGAGGGCCACAAGAGAGAGGGCCACTGCCAAAATGGTGCCCCTCTGAAAGGCAGCATGCTTCACATCAGAGAGGTAAGTATCTGGGCCTGGGGGTCAAATCTTGGCTCTGTTCCTTATTAACATGTTAACGTGGGCATTTACTTAATTTCCTGTAAACTTAGTTTCATTAGTTTCACTTGGGATAGCAACACCAAGCTCATGGGATTGTTATGAGGATTAAAATGGCTGTATGTCAACATGAGACCTCGCACTAGCTGAATGATCGCTATACAATAACAATGTTGTGCTCATCACATTAGGACCAGGAGATAAAACCTTCGGTGAGAAGAGTAAAGAAATAATGCAAACCTTTTTCTGCTCTAGTTCTTGCTTGCCCTCTGTCCTGTTTGTATTTTCCCACTGCAGTAAGTAGTAGCAAGGGGTGGAGGAGGCTCTGGAACGCTGAGAGCCACAGCCAGACTCCAGGCATCCCTCAGTGTTGGTTCCTGGATTTCAGTGAGAAGGATGAAGCAGATCATTGATTGAGTTTACTGTCCAGGTCAGTTCACCAGGGTCATAAAGCAGAAAAAGATGGAGTCAAAAGCTTTAGTTAGGAGTGTAGACCACGTACTGGGCTGCTGAGTCTTCTGCGTTGCAATTCTTAAGTAGTCTGAGACAAGCAATCTGTGACAAGATAGGCTGCAGGTCCAGAACCCAAAACAACTCTTGAACCTGTTAAAATAGTAAAAGTAATTTTTAAAATGCTAAAACCATGTGCAGGTGGTCCATGGAGATGTAGGTTCACTCATACATTTCTGGTGACACTACAAAAGAGTAGGTTTTCAGGAGAGTAAATTGCATGAAATTTAGGGAAATGTTATAAAACTAATCATATTGGTCAAGGCTTCCTTACTTAAGTAAAAAATTCATTCTTTGTGACTGAAGCATTAGAGTTGCTAACATTATTGAAGACTGAGCTGTTGACCATCCAAAGCCCACATCGTACATCTCAAGATGCAAGAGAAGACTATCTTTCCCTCTCTAACTTGGGTACTTATTGGACAGACTGGGTCACATGCCCTCTCACCAACAGAGTCACTGCCCAGAGGAATACAGGACAATGACTCACCAGTGAAGGTGGACACCATGAATGACCATGCTCTCCAGACTATTCTCCTTACTCATTCTCCAAAGGAAATGGGAAGATGATACCAGATGACAGAGGATGGAAAGTGTCCTAGACAAGTCACTACAATTTGATACTCTAATCATTCCCTTTGCTGTGATAATATTTTTCCTGAGAATATATCCTAAGAACTAAGTTGAAAGGGTGTGGGGGAGGCTCTGTGTATACCGTGCCATTATATCATAACTGTGTATTAAACAAAACAAAACAAAACCCAACTTGGAAATGGCCCAAATGCTCAAATGCTGAGGGATGGTAAAGGTACATTGGTATATTGTAATAATAAGCCATCTTATCCAAGTCAATTTATTAAAATCAAGAATGTACTTGGTTTAACAGTTAGATTATGGGACTACAAGGATGGATAAAACACATTCCCTCCCTGCCCTTAAGTCATCACTATGTGGTGTGAAGTGATAAAAGTAATGGGCATTTTTGAGCGCTTAGGCTGTGTGACAAGTGTTGCATTATTACAAATTCAATCCTCTGAACAGTCTTTTCAGATAGGCACTTTTGTTACATCCATTTTATAGATGATGAAAACTGATTTTAACTTCCCTAAAGTCACACAGCTAATAAATGATGGAAATGGGGCTCCATCTGAGGATTTCTATCTCCAACGCTCACATGATAATAGGGATTTAAAACAAAACTGTAGGAAAACAGAGGGACTGACTGTTTTTACAGTGTTACTGAGTTATAATTTGACATGCAATAAGCTGTACACATGTAAAGTATATAATTTGATAAACACTGAGATGTAGCTGTGAAGCCATCTGATTTCTGTGGCTATAGATTAATGTGCATTTCTAGAATTTTATAATTGACTTCTTTGACTCAGCCTATTTATACTGAGATTCATCCATATTGTTGCATGTATCAAAAGTTCAGTTTCTTTTTCTTGCCAAGTAGTATTCCATTGTTTGGCTATACCATAACATGTTTATTCATTCACCTATTGAAGGACATTTGGTTGTTTCCAGTTTTATGATATTACAAACAAGGCTGCTATGAACAGTCATGTATAAGGCTTTGTATGGCCAGTGCTTTGATTTCTTTGGAGTAAATATAATACCTAGGAGTGGAAAGGCTGAATCATATGATAGGTATAAGTTTAACTTTTTCTTAAACTTTTTATTTTGAGACAATTGAAATTAAAATGCAGTTGCAAAAATAATAAAGAGATCCTGTATACCCATTACCTAGTTTTCCCCAAT